GCAGGTGAAAGAATAAATGTACATGGATGTTACTTGTAGCGGCGGTCTGTGTTTGACCCTCTCCCCCCCCCATCCGTAAAAGAGTAGAGTTTGTGAAGAATACGCGTAAGTTCGCTGCCGGGAAAAACGCGGAGTAGTGCACGAGCACGGCTCGCGGACGCACATATTGTAGCTCAAACCGAAAGCGAGTCTATTCATGAGCGGATTAGTGCCCAGGCCCCTTATGAAATTCAGTCAAGTGAACTTTTCGCCAGACGTCCGCATAAATGTCCCTGTATATTCATATCCAGAGCTATAACAGTGGTTATTCAGTTGTGAAACTGTCATAAACCTTTGGTGAAGGACACCTTTAAAAGTCAAACAAGCAAATTAATCCGACAATAAGCTTCTCTCAGAGTATATCAGACACCTCGGTTTCCCAAGTTATCAGGCCTACACATAGGCGTATTCAAATGATCATGGATACTACCCGAAAAATGACTAGAAAACCTTCGGATATTCGACTACCTGTGAGTTATGAAGTATGTCCTAATACTAGTAATGGAGCAATTTAAACTACTAGTTTTTAGCTAGTACCTATTCTGTCATTATGGTGAACAATTATCTTACGTAGCATATACTACTGACTGTCAATTAGCAGTTTGGGAATATTAGGTAGTTATACTGCAGAAAATGGAAGTTTAAAGTTCAAATAGTCATACAAAGTTTCGAACCGAGTCTATTCAGAAGGATTTACTCCTAGTTCGATCATTAATGTCATCGGACGTTAAACCAGATAGATTTTTGAAATCTAACTACGGCTTCCATCTTTTGCTTAAATACAGCAACGGAAAGCTCCTGTCAAACTTCTCCGTTGCACTTCGTGACTTAACTTCAGCAATAGCCTTAATCAAGAACTTGTGCATTACTTAAAATTAACGCTGCACATTTGTGACCCAGGAAGTCTGTTGAAAACATAGGCCCGAATGAATTTCCTCTGGAATCACAGTATGTGACTGTGTAAAAACTACCAGGAAGACACGTTCGCAGCTTGCCGCTTTCACACCATACAGTAATATATTCCTTCTAACTGCTATAATATGCAGAATAGTTGCTGATTATTCTGGATTTTCTATAAACATTTCACCTTTTTCTGCCTGGAAGGAATTGGCTGTGTCGATTAGGCAGTTCTACCCTTGGAGGAGGTGTTAAGAAGACGGTGGTTGATTCAAATTAAACGAGGCAGAGGAAAGCTGTTAGTTAGCTCGCACATTTGGCAAACAATAATCGTCACGGGGATCCAAATGAGGCTTTCCAGGAAGTTGGCCCAGTGCTTTTTATCGACAAAACAAAATTTTGTTAGCATCTGCTGGCCGCAGAGTGGTGACGACAGCGATCACATTTCGGATGACACTAAACGCCTGCTGATATACACTAGGTATTACTCAGCCTATTAGCACGAACATACATGCGAGATCGCAGCTACTTAAGTGAGATTAAAATAGTGAGGAACAGGCAGCATAATACCGGGATATTTCAGCCACGCTAACATGCTGGCAATAGGGTGAGCGTATTTGAGCCGTCTGAAAAACCTCGCTAGGTATGAAGAGACTACATAGCAAGGATGCATTTTTACCTTGATTTCTATCCTCTTGATAAATGGAGATATGCTTTGTCGAAAATATGTCCGTGGATATCCCTTTGTGACAGACTGCATTTTACAGTTTTATACCCGACGATGGGTATATTTAGGTTTAAAAAGGTTTTTATTTTCCAGACTAATTTTGAGAACGCCCTGTCGTTGCACCTTTGGTTTGGCGCTAGAGTCTACTAACTGCATACTTTCCACGTAAGGAAAATCATGAATACTTGTATGTCAGTAAGAAAATATTATACAGGACCCATAAAATTTTGCTTTTGTGTGGTCTATGTCGTGTATTCATCAAAAGGAGCAGTGGAATATAAAAATATACCAAGTTATTTGAACGAACATTTCAGGGCCTTAAAATTTTCATAGTTACAAACTGTGTTCAGCCAAACTGTACACTTTCCTTGAGTGTCATGTTTGCATAAAGCATGATTTTCTGCCAGTGAAAGAATATTTTGTCCCCCTTCTCTTTAAAATATACTTGGATTTATCAAGGAATATAAAATCAAGGAAAAAAATATATCCTGACGTAACCTTTTTACTGTAAGAATGTTACTGCATATAGTCAAATAGAAGCATATTCTAAAAGTGGCATACTAGTTTGATTAAAGTACTTTCAAGTTACTCTATAAGGTGATCAATATTGGAACCCCGCTCCTTTCTAAAGGGATACGTATTTCAGGATTTCAATTCACCCTTGATTAAATTCGTTACTGACTGTATATCTTTCAGCACATGCCCTCTTAAAGGTGGCTTTAATAAGTATGAGTGGGTGTCGATCTTTCTAGTACGGCCAAAACACATAGTTCTTAGCCTGAACTCCAAGGCCAAGAGTGATTGGCTGCCGATTGCCCACAGGAGACGCCGGAGCGGAAGCACACACGCGATTGGCGGAGATTCTTCAAGGACCAATCGTTTTCGCGATGAGCCAAGGGATCGACCAAGTCAGAGCATATAAAAAAGAAAAGGAATAATAGAACCCAACCCCAATTTAATTTACTCTGTGAGAATGAGGTGAGTAATTGGCTGTGTAGTACTTCAGTTAACGCTTAGCAATTGCATGTTAATCCCGACGGCGTTTTCTCTCTTTTACACACGCGCAGAATCTTGGTGTTTCTTGTGATGTTCGCTGCTGCGAGTGCAGCGATGAACGCCACTGAGACCCTCAATGAAACGGAGGCGCACAATAAAACGGAGACACCGGACATTGCCATAGCTAGGAGCAACAATTGTCACCTCTACGATCCGGAGCAATGTCATAAGTGTGCCAAAGACGGCCTAGAGAATTGTGTGAAATGCATGATGGAGGAGGACAATTGTTGTCTGTTACCCCACAAGAGCATTGACTGGAAGACGAAGAAGTCACGGGAGTATTGTAACAAGTGGTTAAAAAGAGAATAATAAAATGATGAATAAAGGCCTTTTTGTACATTCCGGATCTTTGGTAGGCTCACAAAATTAGGGGTGAAAGTTGGGTTTGCATCAAGTTATAGGCTGTGAACATTAAACATGGTCACAGTATCATTTACATTTACCAACCGACTGAGCATTTAATCACCTTCTGACTATATATCATGATTTTCAAATTACTCCAGACACCTTGAATGAGTGTGGCGCTGTCGCGTTAGAACTGTATCGTCTCGTGGTATAACGTGTATGGTCTGCACGCCAGTCGTTATATTATTGCATAACTGCGGTGATTAACGGCTCTTCTCTTATCGAGGATAGGTTCGCGCCTGTGTGCTAATTACTCGATGGTCGGCGTGCGGGTCTCGAACTGCTGATATTTCCTTTTAGCGAGTGACTGCCCAACTATCTGACTCACCGTCACTACTGTTGGAAGATGCGTTCGCCTCTGCGCCCCCTTAGCGGTGAATTGTTTTGGTCAAACTGAATCTCAGCGCCGAATACAGGTTGGAGAGGTCAGTATACTCGTTCCTAGACTGGAGACACCGAAACGTATGACACGAACAACTCGTGGTCTACGCGCTAGT